AATAATAATAATAACGCCATTAAATGATTGCCAAGTCTGTGTATAACAGAGTTTGAAAATTGTATGCCAATCTTCCTTTAAGAAATAAAGGAGACGTCGTGACCTTTCCCTACTGGACTAACAAAGATAAAAGAAACAGAAAAATGCCTCTTTGCATATTCATTTTGTCTTATAAGACTTTTGCGGCGCTCGCAACTGCATAGATCATATTATAAGCGCACATTTGGACATTCGAACAAGGCTCTTCTGAACATTATTCCAACTTGATACGTTTTACTTCATCTTCAGAGCCAGATCGGAAACATATCAAGGATCATGGTTTGCCACTCGTTTAGCTACTCGGATTCTCTCAACAAAACCTATATTGACCTAGTTTTTCCGCGATATCCATCTGTTTAAGTCTTCATTTTCTTAGTAAGCTTTACTTAGTCTACCTCTGCCTCATTTGGCTTTAATTTTTTAGGTGAAATCAAAATGTTCGAGGCGTTTTCGTCTATTCAAATGTCCCTAGTGTCGGCATTCCAGTGGTTAGTTTACCAACTTCTTAATCGTGAGGTTGCGGGTATGGGGGATCGAGGCTCAGGCCCGACGTTGCTGTCTTTTGGCAGAGCACTTTACATGAATTTTCTCCACTTCACCAAAGTGGGAATGGGTACCCGGTCATAGATGGCGACAGACCTTGTCAGAACGTTAGTGTCGTAGGGCCTGCAAAATGGTTGAGATTTGTTTCAGAATGCCATCAGATCTGCTGGGTTGAAAACATAGATTGTGAAGCGCTTAAAATAGCCTGTTGTTGAGCCGTGATTTGCGCTATATAATCAACGCTATCTATTAATGTCGTTAATTTTATTTTTAATCTCTTCCTGTTTTTTAACTTTTTTTGTTAGTGGCTGTTCCAAGATAACTCCTCTGACTACAACCTCGTTCATTGTTTTTGTCCGTCCTCGGAATTCTCAACAGTGTCCGCGTAAACTACATTTCTGTTATCTCCAGTTGATTTTCATTAAATTAAGTGGTCGTCCAGCGTCATTTTTATTATAGCAAATCAAACACCATCACCTCCCTTCCCGTTCATACTTATTGGCTTACGTAATTATAACCAATATAGTTTTTCTTTGTCTGCATTTCAGAAGAGTTTAAATGTATACTCTTACACCCTGCTGTTAGCCGATTCCACTCTGCCAAAAGTTGCACGGGATACAAGTGGGTCGGCTTTGAAGGGAAAGAGGCATGTAATTTAATAATAGTAATAATAGACAGCATTTGTTTGACGCGAATACCGGCTCAACAGCAAGGTCTATGCGCTTTACAATCTTTATTATTATCCCAGCTGACCTGAGGGTATTCTGAAACAACCTCAACTTTCTAGGAAGCATACGATGCAAACTGCCATTTTAAAAATAAAAGCGCCAAAATATTAACACAATTTACAAGATCTTTGGCTGACTATTACCAGGAACCCAATCTCAATTGGGTGATGTGAGAAAAATTCATGTTATGTACCTTTCACTGCGGCTCGAACCCCCGTACCCACAACCTCATGATTACGAGTCCGGTAGCCTAACTTGCTCGATAGGCCCTACCCTCTTTTCTCTTCCGTGCGGGTGACAGTCGTCAGTAACTTAGCTGTATTGAACGTTGAAGAGAATTCATTACTGTCAAAGTTTTATGTCTCCATGGACACAATGCTTCCGTCATTTTTTTAAAGTACAGTATGGAGTGTTTACAACTTTACAGGATAGCCAGTAAAACTCAATGTTGTTACCTACAAAACACAATTATTTCTTTGGAGACAATAAGCTAGGAAGGTATTATCAGAGTTGTATTCTTTACAATATTGACTTGAGATGTTAATGAAGAGTAACTTTTCTTGGTAACAACATTCTTTTTTTTTTTGGACTCTCATGTAAAATTGTAAAAACTGCCTATACTGTACTTTAAAAAATGACGTCAGCATGTACATGTTTAGGAGAAAGCCGGATACTTGATTCCTGGCTGTCTGGACAAACCAGCGGCTGAAAGAGATGCAGTATTTCACCGTAAAGATTGAGCTACTCTATGAAAGACTTGTCCTGTCGGAATCGAACCCAAACTACTGCCACTACAGACACTTGTATGCAGTAGACTCACTCAGCGGGTGATTGAAAGGTGCTCTAGTGTGGTTTGCTCCTTCTTTCCTATCAGTCACCTTTCGTTCTTATGTCTTCTTTTTGTGTTTGTTGCTCTCATGTAATATCTTTAATCTGTAGCACGTATATGACCTGTGCTGCTGGTGCCGTAAGACTTTCACCAAAACCAGACACAATGAGATAGCAAAACCACAAGGTGAAACTCACCAAACACCTGGATAAGTCCGTCCATTCCATGTTCCCTGAGTTCTCGCCCCTCCAAGGCAGTGGCAACGGCGAAGTGTCGAATTCCGCATTTCCGGAGGTATTTGCAGACACCGACACTCCCGTGGCCGTAAGCGTTACCTTTGACGACAGCAATCACCTCTGGGGTGGGGGGTGTGGGGGGGGGGGGGGGGTGACGTTTTTAATGTTTTAAGCTAAGAAAGATATTTTTACTTCCACATCGACACAACAGATTATTTAAGAGGCGGGCTTCCAACTCAGCCTCTCAGGGTCAACCCGAGGTGGACGTTATTTTCGGAGGTCCCGCCTTTCAAATGACCTTACAGAATGTTGAAAAGGGCCGTTTTCTCGCTAATTTTACCTCTGAAACCAGGCCACCGCCACCTCCTTCAACCGCAATTATTTGGACTTTTATTCCAGATAGATGGATGTTTTTTCATCGAAAGTAAGACAAATGAACACACATTAATCTGAAGCTAATAAGCCCACATGCTCAAAAAGTGACAAGCACCTGATTCCACCGCACAGTGACACATATAATAATTTAGCCCTAAAATCCAGCAACAGTGTCAACAACAGCAAAAACAGGGATGGTAAAGGCGTCTATGTAAACATCTTCAGCAACAATAACAAACAGCTACAAACAAACCCATTGTTCTATATTTTCCCTAATAGTTAATTCCGCATATTCTGCTAAAATGTTCTCTTATAACCATATAATCATAAGTTTAACATTTGCATATATTTTCATTTTCTGTATTAAACACAAACGCATTCTTTGATAGAAATGGGTAAAAAAGAGTAAAATGTAAAAGTAGTACCAGAGACCATAAATCATATACTTAAATACTCTCTGGTAGTACTCACCAGTGTGGTCCGAGCACCTCGACTTGAGTGTCTTTATGTTGTGCCAGATGGCCTCAACATTAACCCGCAGGTACGTGCTCCTTCCTGCCAAATCAAACTCGGACCGGATTTTCGGCTCCTCGAGATGGAACGGCTTTCTTTTTGAATGCACGTTCTGCTGCATTCCACGGACCGGAACGCCTGCAGCTGAAGAAAAAAAATCAGATTAAAAAAACGAAATAAAGTAATAAAAAAGAGAGAGAGAAAAGATTAACTAATGAAGATAATGCTCTTAAAAAGCGGGTTTGTTTCGTTGTTGGTCTGCTGTGAATTGATTTAAAGAACACAATAATTTCGTTGCGAGTTTGCTTACGATGTCTGGCATGTCAGTAGGTCCCTCATTTCTCGGTGCAGACAGTTTAGTCACAGCTGACTAACTTGTGTGCATATATAAATTATATTGTCTGAGGAAATCATGAGCTTGTCGTTCTAGCTGGAACAGAGATATTGACAAAAATAGTCGGTGGGATCACTTGTGGTCGATTTTAAATACCAGGGGATTTCGAAATCATTTTAGAATATTATTCAATAGCTGTATCTTGTGAAAACCACTTTAAAATATTTTCTCAATTTCTTTTTTCCAATTTCTTTCACATATTAGAAAGAAAATAAATAGTGTAACTTTGAACGCATTTTTTTCGATTCTTACTTTTTTTGCATTTTGTTACTTCAAATGCAATAATTCAGCTTCTAGAAAAGATAATTTAAAAATTCGAAACGCATAATAATTAGGACTATCTCAGCTTTTATAAAAGCATAAACACTCAAAATGGTCCAGACGCAACAAGTTCCTGTTTTCCACAGACCGGATTATAACAATATGTATG